CAACAGCCAAGGCAATGGCAGAGCCACCAATGCCAGCACCAGAAGCACCAACAGCCAAGCCAATGGCAGAGCCACCAATGCCAGCACCAGAAGCACCAACAGCCAGGCCAAGGGCAGGTCCACCTCCAAAGCCAATGCCAAGTGCACCCACAGCATGCCCACCCAAGTCAATGCCAATTTCAGGGGCAGCCAATGCACACAAAGCCAAGGCAACACCAGTGGCCAAGGGAACCCACCTGCACATGGCACCAACAAGCAAGCAAGCACCTGCCAAAACAGCAGGGAGTGGTTCCACACCCAAAAGCCCAGTCACTCCCCCAAAGTCACCAGATGCCAAGGCTTGGTCAGCACAAAGTGCTTCACTGTATAAGAAATCAATGAAATATCAGTCAGTATAGCATTCTCCCATGTCTCAGCTTTAAGGTTCCATGCCTATCCAATGTAATTTGCTCTGCAACTAAGGGTCCAACCATCACCAGCTTGGCTGGAGTGGCACCACCAATGGCCAAGGCTGGTGGCTGGTGCAATGCCATATGTTTTTTTTTGCATTCCAACATCTTGCATCATTCCATATTACTGGGCCAGGTTGGAGCTGCTTCACCTCCAGCTCATCCAGCAGTGAAGGCCATGCCAACACCCACTGGCAAAGCCCATGGGAATGTGGTTCCACACAACCCAAAAAATCCAGCTGCCAGGCCAAGGATGACCCAAGGGTGGCTAAACAGATGGGTCCACTTGGCCACATTGGTGAACCAAGGGCGACTTGATGAAGCCCATGAGTTCATCCAGCAATGTCTGGAAAGGCACCCCACTGTCCAGCCCATGTTCCAGCAACATGCAGTTAGAATCTGGTACCATGGCTGGGACCCAGGCTTTGGAGACATGTAGCCAGGTGATGAAAAAAGTGCCAAACACTCCAATTCCAACCACATGTTTGAGCACTTAGTGTTGTTGTTTGTTCACCATGTCCATGCATTGCATTCTTCTCATTATCCAGCACTCAGTGCTTTTCATGTCCATTTCATGTCACACATAGCCACTTGATTGTTTCTTCCTTGATTCTTGGGCGCTTCACATCCATGTCATGCACCAGCTGTCCATTTGCAATGAACTTGTTACTTGTGCTGTAAGGACCAAAGCACCCAGTGCTAAGACTCTATAGCCAGTGCCACCCTCCCTGACTGTGTAGCCATGGCCAAAAACCAAAAGACCATGAAGGCAATGTGATAAAGTGTTTTTGTCCTTTATTTCAACTATCTACTGTTATATGCAAGGGTTTATCCATCCAATTGTCTCATGTTCATTTTGTTGCATCTATCCACCTGCAGGCAACCAAGGAGATGAAGACCACCAAAGCCATGAAGGTCATGAAGAGCACCAAGAAGGAGACTACCAAGGCAATGCCTTTTCTATTGTTGGTGTATCCTTGTGTGCATGACATGGCAATTGATCAAGCCATGAAGGCCAAGAACATGAAGGCCAAGACCATGAAGGCCAGAACACCTGTCTCATGAAGATTGTTTGTCATTTCTTTGTCATGCCAATGCATGCACTTGCAGGTGTCCAAGGCAGTGCCCAAGCCAATGGCCACGCAGGCTTTGCCAGCCATGAAGGCAATGAAGGCTAGAACATTTACTGTCTGAAGTTTGTTTTTTTTACATTCACTTTGTTTGTAGCCATGCAGGTTTTGTTGTTTCTGTGAATGTTTTGAAGGCAATGAAAGCCATGAAGGCCATGAAGGCCATGAAGGCCAGAGCATGTGAAATGATACACTCAGACTGTGCCATTATTGGACCAGGTGATGTTTGTACAACCTTCCATGTTTGCAACTGCAGGTGGCCAAGCCTGAAACCATGGCCAAGCCTGCAGCCAAGTCCAAGACCAAGTCCAAGGACAATTGCTTGCCATGCTGTCCCAAATGATGGTGATATCAGGTTGCCTCATTGGAATTCATTGTGACCACATTTTTTTTTGGTTTGTCCAAGTGTGCATGCAGGAAGTTGCCAAGCCACCCAATGAGAGCCAGGTCTGTGGACCCAATCTGGCAGTCCACTGCCAGTGTGGCCAAAGCTGGATCTGGGGTTGGAAATTATGGACCAACCCCAAGTGCCAGCAATGCCAAGAGCCATGGTGCAATAGCATCCCAGGTGGCTTCCACTGGAGGGTGTAACCCAAGAGCACAGCAGAGCTGGGATGAAAAAAATACAGTGCAGTTGTTTGTCATTCACAGAGCACTGATTGTTTCTTGTCATGTTATTCATATATGGTATTGAATCTAATGCAGCACCAAGTGCTATATTGTTTGGTTGTTCATGCAGTCATGGTGTGTTTTTGCATTGTCCATGAACTGCTTTCAGCACCCAGTGCTTACATTGAATTTGTTATGCAGTTGGATTTGATGTTTTCTTCTGATCACTGATGTGTTTGTATTTATGTGATTCATTTTGTTAGTAATAATTTCAAATTTAAATCTATACATATATATTTATAAGTATGGTTTTATTGTTTATAGGTTGAATTAAATATTATTGGTAAATAAGAAAATATATATTTAAATTTAGAATCTAAACTTAAATCAAAACCATTTACATTTTAGTTTAGATTCTAAACTAAAAACCAGATTTTAGTTTAGAATCTAAACACAAATCCAAACCATTTACATTTTAGTTTAGATTCTAAACTAAAAA